GTTGTTGTTGTTGTTATGTGCCGTCGAGTCAGACCTGACTTATAGCGACCCCTCCTTGGGTTTCCGAGGCGGTAATCACTACAGAAATAGATTGCCCCATCTTCCTTCCGAGGAGTGGCTAGTGGGTTTGAACTGCCAGCCTTCTGGTTAGCAGTCAAGTGCCTTAGCCACTATGCTACCAGAGCTGTTTTTTGTTTTTTTGCATTCACTATTTCAATAAGTGTTACCATCATTTCCCAAATTATATCTGCCAGAAGCTTGAAAATTGCCCTAAACCAACTCCTCCATCCTAGCCATTGCCAAATTCTCTTGGTGCTACCTCTAAAAGGTATTTTTAACTATTTCCATCTGCTACCATTTATTCTAAACCATTGTCTCTCACCTTGACCCAGCAATACTGCCTAACAATCCTCTCTGCTTCCACTCTTGCCATTTTTCACATTGCAGTCTGACTGTCCTCTAAAAAATATGAACCTCTGATACCTTTTGAAAAAATTAATCAAAGTAAGATTGTGATAATGCTTGATTAAGTTAAACTTGGTGGTTTAAGTTACTTTACTTTAGACCTCCACGATGTCTTTCTTAACTACTGGCTTGTCTCTATGACCACTGTTACCACCTTAATTTACACACTCTTTCCTCTTACCTGAAATATTGCAATTGTTTCCTAACTTCACTCAACTGCCAGATCAAAATTCCTCATCAAAAAACTCTTCCTCTATTCTCTGCTCAAGAATATTGTATGGTAGTAATTTATAAACCCATAGTACATAAGAACCACCTGGTGAACCTATTAAAAATGCAAATTTCTCAGCTATCTTTGTAGAAATTCTATTTCATGATATCGAAGAGATCAGACCTTTTGTATTCTAATTAAGTTTGTGTATCCATTTCCAGTTTACAGGACATTCACAAGATATTAGTTGACTTCACAGGGCAACAACCAATTAAATGTAGAATAAACTAGAAACAGATTGATTAGAACCAGGATCATCATTTTTGGCAGAAATACTTTTTCAGTGATGCTATGTACGTCATATTGCATCAAAAGAGGAGACACTTCAGGGTCCTATTATCACTGATATTCTGTTTGATCTCTGGGCTTGGTGGTGAGAGCTACTAGATCTCCCCACTGTCATTCCCCTTTCCAATTAGCCAAGTAATCTGTTGGGTAATACTTTGGTATCAGGCAAATGTCCATGTCTTTATCAACCTTTTACCTAATCTTTTCAGCATTTATTTATGCTCCTTGCCTTTTTCACTTAGGGTTCCAGAATAGTGATTATTCTAATTCCATCTTTCCTTCAACATTTATTACATGACATTTTTCATTGAAAACAACCCTGATGTCACAGTAGTTAAGTACTTGGTTGCCAACTGAAAGGTTGCAGGAGAAATATATGGTAGTCTAATACCTTTCCATGCAGATTGTTTTTGTTGTTGTGTGTTTTGAATGATTCTGACTCATAACACCACTACAGGACAGAGCAAAACTGCCCCATAATTTCCAAGGCTGTATCTTTATGGAAATCTCAAACTGCTATAACAGAGTTATAGTTAATTGGAAACTTCAAAATGTCATGTCTGGACTTGCCTGATTGTGCAGAACTTGGAGCTCCAGTGTTTGCTTCCCCAGGGGTGCTGCTACTTCCAGATCCAGCAGTTCTACCAGGTGACACCCCAGTTTTGCCTGATTTATTTTGAGAGAAAAAGGTATACTGAGTAGTTTTTTCCCATCAGAAATAGTTGTTGATTTTTGTATCAAAAGCTTTTTTGGCCTTTGTGGAAATGGCTAGTTATAATCATTTTGAAAACACCATCACTGAAAAATTAATTATTAATGGCAATTATATTAAATGTTATTTAATAAACAACAAATAAATAGAAGAATTTTGACTATTTCTATTTACAGGGCCTATGATAGTATACTTGAAAAACAAAAGAAATAATGGAAAAACTCCATAAATGCTATAAATAGTAAGAAAGTGTAGTAAGAGACCAGGATATAAGATTAATCTATAAAAATTAATAATCTCCATAGTACAAACAAGTTGAAATATATCATGTAAGAAAAAAATTATAATTTATAAAAACAATAATAATATTATCAAATTTTAATTATTTTAGCAATTTGTCTTTTGACATGTATTCTTAAATTGCCCATTCTTTTCTTTTTTAATAATGAAAAAAATTCATGTCTTTAATAGTGGCTACTTTATAGTTATGTTTTTATATAACACCATTAGCACCCTTCCAATTTTCTTGTCGATAGTGTCTACTGGTTCTCCCTTGTGAAAATATTAATTTATGCTTTCTTCTTCCCCTTTCACTCTTGCTCTTCTAAAATTTCCAATTTAATAAAAACTATTTTATTTCTTAATGCACATTTCACCATTTTGTATTCAAGGGAATAAATTGTACCTTTCCTGGTTTGGTTCATGAACTTTAAATAATTCTTTTGACTACTCCCAGTTACCTATGAATAAATCTGTAAGTTTCTCCCACTATCCTGCTTTTCTTTCTTTTTTTATTGATTGATTGATTGTTAGCTTGATATGTCATTTTTACGGTCAAAGTTGGTATTATTTTTATACTCTGCCAGCTTTCTTTCTACTTTTATTCTAGTTTTAGATCCATGGATAAAAATAATCAGTGCTTTGGTCTTTTTGTTAAAATTTCCAAAGTATCTCTTTGTTGAATGATACATACCCGCTAGTGAGTTGATTATGAAGGGCTCATAGGTACATAGTTCTCTTTCATATTTTAAATGTTTTTTATACTTTTAATACTTAGCTGGATATAAAATCATTGGCCCACATTTTTTCCCCTTGACTCTCTTATAGATCAGAGCTCTGGTGGTGCTGTGGCTGAGGCAATCAGCTGTTAACCAAAAGGTTGGCAGTTGGAACCCACTAGCCACTCCACAGGGAGCTCTGGTGGCATAGTGCCTAAGACATTTGACTGCTAACCAGAAGGCTGGTGGTTCAAACCCACCAGTCACTCCTCAGAAGGAAGGCTGGGCAATCTACATCTGTAGTGATACCTCCTCAGAAACCCTCGATTCAGCCTCTCCACCAGAGAAAGAGGAGGCAGCCTGCTTCCATAAAGATTTACAACCTTGAAAACTCTATGGAGTCACTATAAGTTTTTATCTTATATGTCTCCCTTTGCCCTAAAAAGCAGTGCCTTCCCAAGAGAGCTTGTCCTCATTCGACATAGTTGTCAGTATTCTTTCAACTGTGCATTCATCAGAACACTGACCAACCAGACTCAAATTTTCTCTCAGTATTTTCCAAGTGATTTGGTCCTTTCCTTCTAAGGGTGAATCTAGGTGATGCTCTCTGTATTTTGCAATTAGGATTTCTCTATGCTTCCCTCTCTTTTGAGGGGCCTCTACTTGAATTTCAGCTCCACAGTGGGCCTATGACCCATCTTTCTTAACCATTGAGGTCTTAGCCTTCTCTGTGTCCTGTTTATAGCATAGCTATGGCCTCTGTTCGTCTTTGTGATTTATAAAAGAAGGTGTATAGAGATTCTAATTTAGGCCATCACCATTTTCCTGAACATTTAATTTTTTTTTTTTTTTTTTTTTAGGATTTGGGTGAAGATTTACAGAGTAAATTCACTTTTCATACAACAGCTCACATATACTTTGTCTCATGTCATTGACCAAAATTTACAATGCAGCAGCTCCCCTCCCACTTCCTCCCCATAGTTACTTCCTCCCAGTGTCCATCCCTTCATACTCTTCTGCACCCTGAGCTATCTCCCTGTGCATAAGCAGCCCTTCCTTCTCCCATGATTCCTGAACATTTAATTTTAAGAATTTGGCTCACTGGTTCCTTCAACTTAAATACTGCTCAATTCTAAGTGCATCAGTGAAAATTAAGGATCAAGTTGATATCATAGCTAATTGACATACATTTGTTGTTAGATGTTGTCGAATCAGCTCCAAATTATAGAGACTCTATCTATGTACAACAGAATGTAACACTATCTGGTCCATAATTCTAGCCACTACCTTATACTTGTGATTAAAAAGCATTTTTGGTATATTTGAATATCTAACCAGCTCATCAGATGTTTACAGCAGAGCTACAATATTTAAGAGATTGAATAGGAAAGATTCTCCACAGATTCAGCAGTGAGTATCTCACTAGAGCAAGGCCTCTCACTCACCTGCTTCATTCCCAGAAGCAGTGGTCCCAGGTAATCCAGGAGAGCTCTCACGTCCACTTGTTATGCCAGCTGATGTGCCAGTGGTGCCTAATGGCATGGAGAAAGGATAGTAATTGTTCACAGAAACACTCTCGGAGCAATTTACTAAACTTGGTGAGAAACTGGATTCTAAAATTGAATGTTTAACACACAATGCAACTTTATCAAGTGAATAATCAATTCCTAACATCTGAAGTTGCTAAATCAAAGTGCAGTATTACGTTTTAGATAAGATGGGGGCCATAATGTCAGACTATCTGGCTTGGACTCTCTGCTTCATTACAATTTATTAGCAGAAGGACCTTCAACAAGTCACCTAACTATTCAAGGTTGTTTCATCATCTGTAAAGTGAAACCTACTGCATAAAGGTGTTGAAGAGACAAAATGAATTGATGAGACTCTCAGACCAATAGCTGGCACATTGATTCGACTCATAGCGACCCCTCCTCGGGTTTCCGAGGCAGTAACTCTGCGAAAGTAGATTGCCCAATCTTCCTTTTGAGGAGTGGTTGGTGGGTTTGAACTTCCAGCCTTCTGGTTACCAGTCAAATGCCTTAAGCACTACGTTACCAGCACTCCTTGCTAACATTAGCTATAGAAAATTTCAGAGGTTATTTAAATAAGAATAATGAGAAGACTTTCACACAAGACACTGACATCTCATATTTCTTACCTGCTTTGTTGCCTGAGGTTGTGGCTGGGGTAGCTGAAGGTCCTTGTGTGTTCTCACTCCCAGGGGTGGTGGTGGAACCTGCAGAACACCAGGGAGTATTGAAATAAAAAATGGAGCAAAGGTAATCACTTCTAACTACTTTATTCTATTCTGATCTGATTTTAAAAAGATGAGGTTTTGGATTTACAGGGCTCCCAGGACACTATACCTATGATTCCCCTTGGCCCTACAATGTAATATCCATTATAGTTGGGCCCTTAGTCCAGATCACAGCCTGCTGAGGGAGGCCTGGTGGGGAACTGCTGAGACATCCTTTCCAGACTTGCCTGACTTCCCAGGACTCGTGGTTCCAGCAACCGGTTTCCCAGGGGAGCCACTAGCTCCAGTACCACGGGTTACTCCAGGTGATACCCCAGGTGTGGCTTAATTTTTTAAAGAATAAAAAAGTCAAATGATTAACTTCTAAACTGATCATATTATGAGGGTTTCCTGAAAGATGACTGTTCTTTATTCCACTAAAAATTCACTTAGCTTACTGGTGTTTTGAGATTTTTGCCTAAGATAAGGAAAATAGGTTTTTCAGATTTAGAAAATAAAAATACAGCTGATAATGCCCTGATTACAATATCATATCATTTAAAAGTACAATAGTTCTGTGGTTTTTCACCCTTAACTAATCAATTATCTTCTGACTAGAATTACTTCTAGAATTCCTAGTTCAATACTTGTTTCTGACTATAATTATCTTCTGCCTTATGTGGTTATTTGTCTTTGATATGTATATAAACATTATTTTTCCCCCTTGAATAATTTTTTTTTTAAATTCAGAAGTGCCTTACTCTTTTCTTCTCATGTCCTCTAGAGTACCTAGCACAATATCACACACAAAATAAATATTCCTTGATATATTTCTGATCTTCTGCAGTTTTGACATTACACAAATAATAATAATTAAATTCCTCAGGAAACTTCATTTTTGACAAAACGTTAAGAAAAGAAATCACATTTGCACTGTTGGATTCAGTGCTGGTTATGCTTGTTCAGTACCTGATGCTCCAGGAGTGTTTTCACCGGGAGCCCCAGTGGTGGCTGTATTTTCTCCTCCAGTTGTTCCTAATTGAAAAGAACAATGCTTCAGCTACCCCAGCCACAATCTCTGGTAACAAATCAGGTAAGAAACAGAAGTCAGTGTAGCAGAGTGCTTAACTACTGCAACAGATGAAAGCCATAACCCGGGCTTTCTTAGACTCCTCATGAGAATTTGAGATCTCAGTTGGGCTTATGCTGCATCACCACCCGACTACCCAGTGGTCCTGAGCCTTGCCTGCTGGGTTTGCAGCTGTGCTGGAGCCAGCAAACAATGATGGTCTTGTGCTTCTACTGCCAGTCCCAGTTGTAGTTGCAACAGGCTCTCCAGTCCCACCTGAGAAGCACAATATTGGGAGAGCACAGTTATTGTGACAACATAAACAATCCTTTTGGGGACATTTGGAGAAACCAGAAAAATAAACATTTTCTTCAAAATGTTAATCATTATATGCCATTCCATATTTATTGTTGGGTGGGGTTTGATTAGTTGATACTGAACGATATCAGCAGAGTTCTGATAAAACACTGTTATATTTTATAAAAGCCATGACTTATGAATGATGCCTCCTTCTCACTTGACTTGCCTTCAGATGGTGTCCCTTCACTGCTTGGGGCTTGAGTTGTTTCACCCACTGATGATCCAGTAGTCCCTTTTAAAATAAACAATAAATATGCATCACCTTAGACTAAACAGAGCAGATCATGCTACTCTTCTGCTATTACAATAACTTTCATGTGCTGGCTCAAACTTCTCCATTTCCTACACACACTTTCAAAACTGATCATAAGGATCAAGGGGTTGCCATTAGACCTCCAGATGTCCTATTATAGTGGTTCTCTGCACAGGCTGCGCTTTGGGACCAACTATGTAGCTTTTAAAATATCCTTATGCCAGACCCCCTACTGCTGGGGTTCAGATTCTATTAGTTGATGACGAAAGCTCTTTAGTACAAATTTTCAAAAAATTCTCTATAGATTCTAATTTGTAGCCAGTATTCAGAACCGCAAACTACTCCAGAATCAGTCTCAGAAGTTTCAGCCTTGGAATCCATATGATCTTAAGCACACTCAGTGTTCCAGTGATTGTATAAGATTAAGGAAATACCATCTGACCAAGACCTTCATTGCTACCTGCAATACTGTTGGTCAGTAATGTTGTTGTTGTTGTTATACGCCGTCGAGTTGGCCCCGACTCATAGCGACCCCTCCTTGGGTTTCCGAGGCAGTATCACTACAGAAGTAGGATTGCTCAACCTTCCTTCTGAGGAGTGGCTGGTGGGTTTGAAACGCCAGCCTTCTGGTTAGCAGTCAAGTGCCTTAGCCACTATGCTACCAGAGCTCCTAATAAGCATGCTTGTTGTTGTTGTTGTTATTTGCCATCGAGTTGGCCCCGACTCATAGCAACCCCTCCTTGGGTTTCCGAGGCAGTATCACTACGGAAGTAGGAATGCCCAACCTTCCTTCGGAGGAGTGGCATTCTTAGGACTCTGATAATAGAAAAGTGCTAAGTACTTCATACCTGTTTCATGGCATTTAAGATAGCCTATTATTGGGCTCCCTACCTCTAATCTACTTCTATTTTGTTCCATTCTATACAACACTGACAGATAAATGCAGTGGGGAGGAGACCACAAGCATTCCAACTGGTTCTTGAACATGCACAGTGTTTTCCCTTTTACTCACCTGCCTGGCTTCTGGTGGTTGTGGCCAGTGTAACTGAGGTGCCACTGATGCCCTCACTCCCAGGGCTGGTGGTGGTGGAAGCTGCAGAGACTCCTGAAGTCCCTGAAACCCATGACATCATGATTTAGGCAAAATCTGTGTCTGTTTTGACATAAAACATTTCAAGTTTCTTAAAAATTAGAAATCAGAGAACCTATGCATATTATCTATTTCTCCTCTGTTTGGAAATATAATGTTAGTTATGAGTTAATCTTCAACTTAAGTCTCAAACTGCTATATAAGCGTTGGTTCGGAAAATCCGTAATGTCATCATGTCTGGACTTGCCTGACTGTGCAGAACTTGTAGCTCCAGTGCCTGTTTCCCCAGGGGTTCCAGATCCAGGGGTTCTGCCAGGTGATACTTCAGTTTTGCCTGATTCATTTTAATGAGAGAAAGGGATAAATAACCATATTGTTGATGCATCCTATAACGTTGACCTGAAATTCATTGTAAATTTTATATCTATCTGTTACAAAATCATGGGCACCATGTCATATATCAAACATTTTGACTTGCTTTCAGAAGATATAACTTCACTGCCTGGTGAAGCTTGAGTTCCTGCCCCAGTAGTGGGTCCTATTGATGATGGAATAAGGAAAGAACAGAAGTAATATGGAGATGGTGTGAATCTTGATCTTACAGTGGATCATGCTAGTTTCCAATCTGAGCCTACTTTTCACACCTACCAGCTACTCTCATCTCCACAATCATCAAATTACATCAAGTCTTTATACCTGATGCCTATAATGTTTCCTCATGATATGCCATTCTGTATAGATTTATCAGTTTAATGTTTCTAAGAAAAAATCCAAATTTACCATTATCAGGCCAGGAATTTTGTTTTAATTGCTTAAATCCCCAAAACCCACTGCCATTGAGTCTATTTCAACTCACAGTGACCATATAGAACAGAGCAGAACTGCCTCATAGTTTTCAAGGTGCAACCTTTATGGACTCAGACTGCCAAATATTCCACCCAAAGAGTGGCTACAGGTTTGAATAACTTAACTTTCCATTAACAACCAGCCTTGAAAATACTATGGGCCAGTTGTAGTCGGTCCAATAGTGTCAGTATGAGTCAGAATTGACTTGAGAGTAGTAGGTTTGGTTATATTTTTATTTAAAAAGTGGTTTTTCTCATCAACTGGAACCATTTGGATATATTAATACAAAGTGTCTATAAAAATGCTGGATAATTATTTTTTCCCTTTAGCTATCAATTTACCTAGTGAGGAATTGGCATAATAGTCACCTTCAAAAATACCAAATGAATTGCTGCTCTTGATTGTTTCTCCTTCATGATTACAATTGGAAGAACATGCATGTTAATATGATCAATGTGTTTCAGTCCATTGTAATCGTTATTTCTTCTGGTGCACAAAATTCTCCAATTGCTGTCAATGGGAGATCCTACAGTTTGGCACACATGTTCTTTGGCCAGAACCACATGAGTCTTTTAATGCTTCCTTGGATTCTGACTCTACAAATCCCAGGTTCAACTAATACTTTTCATGACCTACCTTGTAATTTTCGTGAACCCAACCTGAAATTACACATTTCTCTTACCAAGAGAGGTCCCAAGTGTGTAGAAACCTCAAAACAAGTGCTAAGGGCAGCTCATTGCTATTAGAATGCCATTGTTTTTAGACCTTGTTAGTGACCAGAGCTAAGGTATTATATCTATATATTCATACATATATTTCCAACTCAGATGAGTTATTATGAGATTTTACCTAATTGTTTGAGTTAAGTCCTTTATCTCATTTGTCTTACATTTAAAACACTGGCTTCTAATCATATTATATAATTGCAGTTATTAGTTACCAGACCAATTTATGGTAGCTCATGACTGCAGAGTAAAACTGCTTCATAGCTCAATGTGAAGAAACAGAATGTGTGGGAATGTTGAATTGTTGAATGAAAAAGCAATTTGCTCTGTGAACTTTCATTCAAATCACAATAACAATTATAAAAAAACAACTCTCATAGTGTTTTCAAGGTGGTGTTCTTTTAGGATCCCCAGGTCTGTTTTCCAGGTGCCCCTTGGTGGGCCTGAAAGGCCAAATGCCATGTAGTAGTTGAGCTTGTATCAATGACTTACTGCTTTAACCCAAAATGTGCATAAAATAGTTTCAAAGTAGAAATACCAACTACTTAAAATGAAATCAATTAATTAAGTTTAAGATTTCCTTGAAGTCCTTTTGAACTGAAAATACATAACACTAAGAAGGAACAGTCTGATGACTACGTTTTAAAGGCCCTTGAAATAATTATTCTCTCCATGTGATTATAATTTGATATTAGGTTGAATTTTTTTAGCTGGTTTTCAATTTTAAGGTTTGCTTTTTTATTTCAATTTAATTGTGGCTTTTAAATATATGTGACATATACATGTTTCAAAAGTCAAAGTGATGCAAAAAAAAAAGTATACTCACAACTTAAAGTTCATTTTGTTTGGTCTTGTAGCCTATAAATAACTATTTTTACAATTTCCTGCCTTATTATGTATAAAGCACCTTACCTCATAAAGGTACAATATATATATATGGCTTTGCATCTTGCTGTTTTCACTCAACAGTAACTCCTGCAGGTAGTTCTATATCAGCCCAGAGAGACTGTCCTCATTCTTTTTCAGAGATACAAAGTGCTACTTTATACCAATGTCATTGACTGGATTTCCTCTAATTGCAAAAGGAAGCTGTTTCTAATGTGTCTATTTAAACCAATGCTAGTATGAATATCTTAGGTTTATGCATATTGAGTTTGTATAACTTCAGGGTAGAGGATTAGAATTGAGCATTCTAGGTCAAAGTGTAGATAAATCTGTAATTTTGGTGGATTTTGCCAAGTTGCCCTCCATGGTGTTGTAACATTTTGTATTCCCTGCGCCATGCATTCCGTTTCTTCCCATACCTGCCAACATGTCTACTGTCAAGAGGAGTACACTCAAACATTTGAATTTCTGCCAAACTAAAATATGTAGTTTGAATTTGCATTTTTCTTGTATATAAAGTTGATCATCTTTTCACATGATGAAGAATCATTTACATTTCTTTTTCTGTGAAGTTCATTTCATTCACATCTTCTATTCTTTTTCAATGGGCTGCAAGTACTCCTTGAGGTTTGTAATTATTGTTTTGATTGTTTATAGTTTTTTTTTCTGAATAAATTATTCTACAACTAATGTTTTCAAGTTCTATGCTTCTACTTATTGTGTAATACAGTTTATTAAAAATTAAAAAACAATGTTATAAAGCAGTGTGATGGCATTATTTTTGCTTTGCTGGAATGTTGTCACTGTTATGTGCCATCAAGTTGGATCCAACTCATAGCGACCCCTCCTTGGGTTTCCAGGAGATATCACTACGGAAGTAGATTGCCCAACCTTCTTTCTGGGGAGTGGCTGGTGGGTTTGAACTGCCACCTTTCTGGTTAGCAATCAAGTACCTAAGGTACTAGACTACCAGAGCTCCCTTTACTGGAGTAGGGAATAATTTTACTAATTCCTAATTAAGATGTTGGCTGTGGGTTGAGATATATGTATCATGCAAGTACCTACATATATCTATATATGTATGTATGATTGTGTTAAGAAAGTGTCAATTAATTCCTAGTATATTGAATATTATTTTCCCATCAAACATGGCTATTAAATTTTTATTTAATGCCTTTTTGCCATCTATGGAGATTGTTGTTGTTCTTCAGTACTATCGAGTTGGTTTCATCTTATAGAAACCTCACGTACAACAGAATGGATCACTGCTCTCTCCTGCACCATCCTCATAATTATACTATTCTATTTGGTTTGTAAACTATGTAGATAGCTACTTACCAATATTTATATGATAAAATATATTAATGGAACATATTAATGGACTCCCGATTTTGAAAACACTGTCATTGAAAAAATTAAGTATTATTAATATAAATTATTATTGAATAATATTTAACAAACACCAAAACAAATAGAAGAATTTTGGGTATTTCTATTACAGATGCAATAATAGTATACCTAAAAAATACAAAAGAAACAGTGGAAAAACACTATAAACACAGTAAATAGTAAGAGAATATAGTAAAGGACCAGGATGTAAGATTAACATGTAAAATAAATAGCCTCCATGGTACAAATAAGTTTAAAAAAAGCATGTGAGAAAAACTCAATTTATAAAGACAACAAAAAATATTATTTTAATGTGCTATCAAATTCTAATTTTAGGAATTTTTTTTTGACATGTGTACTCAAATTGTTCTTTTCTATTTCTTCTTCAATAATTAAAAAGTTACATTTTTAATAGTGGCTACTTCATAGTTTAAGAATAGTTGATGCCTTTGAATTGTGATTCTGGTGAAGAATACTGAAAATACCATGGACTGCCAGAAGAACAAACAAATCTGCCCTAAAGAAGTGCAGCCGGAGTGTTCTTTAGTAGCAAGAATGGCCAGACTTCACCTCATCTATTTTGGTCATGTTGTCAGAAGAGACTAGTCCTTGGAGAAAGATATCATGTTTGGTAAAATAGAGCATTAATGAAAAAAGGAAATGCTCTCAACGAGAAGGATTGAAACACTGGTTACAACAATGGGTTCAAGCATAGAGGGAATTGTAAGGATGGTGCAGTGTTTCATTGGGTAGCTATGAGTAGGCACCAACTCATAGCACCTAACAACAGCAATGCTTTATAGTAATGTTTTATAAAATCTCATTAGCACTCTCCTAATTTTCTTTCAGGTAGTATTTATTGCTTCTTTCCTGGGAGCAACAATAATATCATGATTTCTTCTTCCCTTCTCACGCTTCCTCTTCTGTAATTTCCAATTTTAGTAAACACTATTTTCTTTCTTACTGCACATTTTGCCAATTTTGTATACAAGGGAATACACTAAAGCTTCTCTTGTTTGGTTTATAAGCTTTCAATATATATTTTTCTGACTACATCCTGTTACCAATGAAGTAAATCAATATGCTTCTCCCACTTTATTTCTTCTTTTTTTTGACTGATTGCTTGTTAGATTGATGTGTCATTTTTTACTTGGTCAAAGTATGTAACATTTATATATTCTTTTTCCATCCTCCTTCTAAACCTTTTTTCTAGTTGTAGATCTGCAGGTAAAAAGTCAGTGCCATACTCTTTTTGTTAAAGTTTCCAAAGTATTTCTTTGCTGGATAACACTCATCTGCTAGAGAATTGATCACGAAGGGTTCATACGTACATAATTTCCTGAATTCTCTTTCATGTTCACTGCTTTTCTACACGCTGAATACTTAGCTGGATATTAAATCTTTGACCCACAGCTTTTCCCCCTTCACTATCTTACATAGCTTCTCTATATACTCGTGAGTCTCATACCTGATTTTCTTTCTTTTTTGA